GCGGCAGGCGTGCCTGAGCAGAACAGGAGTTGCATAAAATGCCTCTCCAAGGGCGCCTGACGAGGGGACCTGGCCTCCCGCCCCTCCTGTGCATTGTGCACCCCCCCACCCCCAGCCACAGGATGCACCCAACGCCTTTGCGTGTGCTGGTCCCACCTCCTGAACATCCCCCCGCCCCAGGACCTCCTGGTGGCTGGCTCCTTCCCGCAGGCACCTGGCCTCAAGGCCACCTCCTCCCAGGCTGCCCACCCCACCCCCATCCGCCTCCTGTTTTATTTTCTTTATGGCATGAATAGTCTTGAAAATGCTCAGTGATGTGGTCCACTGTAGGGCAGGGCAGACAGAGGGAAAGGCAAACATCCCAGTTAGAAGACGAAGGCCGGAGCTGGAGAGAAGCCAGGCGAGGCCTCAGGGGCAGAGTTTCACAACACAGCACCCAGGGCGAACGGACCTCGTAAAGGCATTCACGGCCACAGCTCCGGGACAGGCCGAGCTGCCCTGACGAACGTGCCAAGCGAGTGTCCGCGGATGCCCGGCGGAGGGGCCCGTCTCCCTCTGGGACCTGAGGGAAGGGCTGCCGTTCACGTGGGCCGCTCAGGCTGGTTTGGGTCACAACAGAAACATTCCTCTTAACCACCTTGAGCCTGGACCCACCCAGACATTGCGGTTCAGGAGCCGGGCGGTGTTGAACCGGCTGGGTGGCCGCTCACCCCCGGCCATTCGCAAGCCCGCCCTGCCCACGGCAACCGGGGGGAGGACGGGCTGAGTCCTTGCAGGGGCACATGCAGGCCTCCCAGCGTGGGTTTCACCCAGCTCTGAACTGTCTTCATCTCATCAGCAGATGCCAGATGCCCGATTGCCGCGACTGGACCCTGCCTCTCGTCCCTAAACGGTCTTTAAAAAAGTCCACACGAACAGCCCAAGGTCAGGAGAGTCCCCTCCGGGGAGGGGTGTGGGGGCTGCACATTTTGCCTTATGACATTGGAAGGGTTTGACACTCGTTCTTCTCCGAGAAGTAGGCATTGCTTTGTGTGATGGAAAACTGCTAAGCAAAGCACGCAGCACACTCACTCCACACACACACACACACACACACACACACACACACAGCCACTGTGCACTCAACCGGGAACCCTGGCGCGGAGATCACTGACAGGACGTCACGCTAAGAATCGAAGCCTAAGCGTTCAAATGGAAACAACTGGACAAAGCGCCCATCCTGCTGGCTTCCGCGGGAGCCGAGGGTCGGGAGTGTGCACTTAGCCTCCTGCATGTGAAAGTGTCACACTGAGACGGGAGCCCATTAGAAAGACGGGGTCACACGATGTCACACCCATTACCCACACGTAATTGCACCGGTTCAGGAGGAGCGCACGATCCCACTTTAACTGCCAGGAGGGGGGAACCCAGAGGGTCTCCGAGCCCATCACTCAGAGGCCTGTCGGGGCCTGTCACACAGCAGCTGTCCCCTCGAGTGGCCCTGAATTAAGTCGGGGGTCGGGGCAGAGGAAACAGGGCAACGGCTGTTACATGCCCCACATGTATCGTGTGCCTGTTTCAGGTCCATACACGTATGCGTGCATGTATCAGACAGAGTGTGCACACATGCACCTGTGTGTGCATTTGTACCTGTGTGCATGTTCGTGTAAGTGTACACTCGTGTGCAAACATGTATCTGTGTGTGTTTATACATCTACAGGTATGTGTGTACGTGTGTACCCGTGTCTGCTTACGCGTGTCTATGTGTATTATGTGTACATACATGTGCATGCACGCCTGAGCCATGTGTGTGCTCGTTAAGGCACAAAAATTCCGATCGAGCACTGCAGCCCTAGATGTGACTGGTGACCAGAGGCTGGGGCCCTATATGGCAGGCACCACGGACGGAGGGTGCTATCTGGGGTCTGTCGCACCCTCCCCACACCTTGGCTTCCCTTTCTGGGACCGGCTGCCTGTGGCAGCAGGGGCGGGTCACAGAGGGGAACCGCTCACTACCACGTGTAAGGTGCCAATGCTTCGGTCAACAACAGGATGCTAGACCAATGTTAAACAGTGCCCTCGCTGGCGTCCCCGGGGAACCCACGAAAGGGGAGCCTGGTGACAGCCGTCGACAACTGCTGGGGGCCTGTTCTGGCTTCCTGTCTGCCGGGTTTGCCAAGACGGGGCAGGTGAAGCCCCACACACCCTCCAGGCCCTGTGGCCAGCAGAGCAGAAGACACACACCTGACCATGCCATCCCCTCCCAGCCAGGGGCAGACGGCACAGCGGCTACCCTGAGACCATGCCCTGCCACGCCGACGTCCCCGCCTACAGGCTGCCCCCACCCCCGGCTGTGGTGCTAATGCCACCACCTTCCCAAACGGCCTTGTCCCCTCAGGAATCAGAAAAGGTTTCAGGAGCTCTCTGCGTCTCACACACACACGACAAATAGTTCATTGTTTCAACTCCAGTTTCCCCAGAACTTAGAACTGATCCCGGGAGCAGCAGGGGCCATGCGCAGCCTTGGACTTGAGTCCAGCTGGACCCCTCGCCCCCCTACCGACACACCGCCAACAGAAGAGCATGCAGGACGCCGGCCTTCCCCGCCGGTGGCCCCGCAGGGGCAAAGAAGCCAGGACGTTGCGACACGCCTTACCCCTCCTGCCCACACCCAAACCCGGGCACGTGTGTGCCACGCGCGCCGATGGGGGCCGGGAAGGAGGCAGAGGGCGGCGGGGTGACAGACGCACATACCAAATAATCAGCAGTCGGTCAGCAGGGACAACGGACAGTGCTGAGAAGGGGGCACACCACCCGCGCACCATCACCCTTCGCACACGGACACTCACCACCGTCTCTTTCCAGAGGGCGTGCGGCACCTGCGCAGGGCGGGTGCATGTGTCCCTGAGCCCGGACAGCCTAGCGCTGCGGAATATAACACAAGCCCCCTCCCCGGCCTGACTTTTCCTGCCGCCCGCCCCAGGGAGGAATGCGTGAGGTCAGGGGCTGCTGGTGTCACGGGGAGCTCGGCCCCAGATTCACCCCCAGGCACGTTCCCCAAGGGCAGGAGGACATGGTGCGCACAGGGCAATACTTGAAATGCCACTGAAATTGGTGCTTAGGGCTCCAGTTTGACCTGTGCAGAGGGCAGACGTAGGTAAAGGGCACTGCTGAAAAGTCTGGCCTTTGTCTGGAATTTATTTGCATTCTTAATTTTCTTTTTACCTTATGTAACTCTCCTACTTTCAAAAGCAAGTCCAAGCAGGCTTAGCTCTGCTAATAAGGAAATGTGAATTAAAATAAAGTGCCTGATTACCCCCCCACGAGGGAACGAGAAAATTTAAGACCGATTGATGCTAGCGGAGCTGGTGAAGGGGTCGGGTGGAGGATTTCTGAAGGCGATTCTGAATTTCCAAATCGTTCCTACTACCTAGCGACTCTCGGCAGTCATCCTACAGACAGCCCGGCGTGCAAAGCCACATGGACGAGGCTGCACCTCCATCGGGGGCTGGTTAACAGACACGTGCAGGGGACCGAGCCACGTGTGCGAGATTCGCCAGGGAGCACACGGCAGCCCGGCCGCACAGAAAGGCAGGTGCAGGGCGGGCAGCAGGCCGGGATGGCCCACGTGCGTCCAGGGAGGAGGTCCACACACACACACACACAGACACACACGGACACAGACAGACACAGACGCAGACCCGACTGCTAACAGTGACCATCTCTGGGCAGGGAGAACGGCCAGGGGACTCACTTTCTACGTTTGTTTTTAAAACAATGAGTTGCCCTTTCTATCGCTTTGCAAAAAATATTTAATACATTAACAACGCATGTCTCCTCTCTACTCAAGTCGGTGGACAAAGCTGCCCTGTGGGGCGGGTGCGGTGGTCCCCGCGCCCGCCCACCTCTCGGTGTCAGCGTCTGCTCCAGTCGAGTCTCTGCCCCTAGCGTTCACATAAAAATGAGAAGTGGCCTCCTTTCCTGCACGCACTTCGTGCTTTTTATGACCACAGAGTAACAGGAGAGCCCACCCTCTTCGCTTTAACCTGGGAACCGTCTCAACTCAACACAGTACTGAACAGAAGCAAGCAGCCTTGCTTTCAATTCCCTTACAGCCGAGGATTCCAAACTACGTCTTGAAAATAAAGGGCTCAGCCAACAAAATCCAAAGACACACGATCCGGGGGGAGGGGGTAACTAGGAAAAAAACTTGTAACACAGATGCCAGGGACTGGAGTTCCTGATTAGAGCAGAAAGAAAAGATCTAACAGATCACAGAGCCCTGGCCCCAAAGAGCAGGTAACCAAGCACACGCATGTACAGAACCAGCCAACAACACGGGAAGGGCTTTGTAACCCTGGAAGTGGAGCCGTGCTCCTTACAGACGCCCCCTAAGCTGGCATGACAGGCCCCTGGGACTGCCGCGCACACGGACACCAACGACTAGTCTGGCAGCGGGCGAGTGGAGGGGCGGGCAGGAGCGACAGCCCCGCCCGCCCACGCACGGCACACGCGTGCCAGCAAAGGGTGGAGGGGAGATGGCGGCTTGCCTTTTGTTTATACAAATTAAACTGGCCTTTCTCTTCCCTCTAAAGCTGGAAAACCATGGTTGACCAGGTATCAATTGGCCAAAATTAAGATTAATCATAAAATGATTCAAATCCCAGGCAGGGGGTGACATGGAGAGCCTCTCTTTCCCATCAGACCTCACCGATGACCCCCCTGCTCCCCCAAAAGAGAAGACGGAGCATCTCGTCCCTAGACTGGGGCCTGCAGCCTAGGAAGAGGGCAGGGGAAGAGTCGGGGGCAGAACGGCAGTGCGGCAGGGAAGGAAAAACAGGCAGTGCACCTGCTGCCCTGTGGACTTTCCCCCAAGCCAGCCCCGAGGGACGAGGGACGGCGGCCAGGTCCCGCCCTCCGCAGGGGCCAAGCACCGACCTTCCGCTGGACCCCACTGAGGCTTCTACAAAGTGTCAGCTTAGCCAAGCTGCGAGGCAGACTGAGAAACAAAGTGATTTTACCTGTATCTTGTGCTTCTCAGATCTTCCCAACTGTTTCTAGAAAGGAGTCTTCAGAAATCTTGGCTCTGAAAATAATGAGGAACAAGGATATTTAAACACTTAAACTGTCCACATAAACTCAACAAGACTGCTGGAAAGGCCCCGAAAAGAAACCCTGCCTTAACTTCTGGACCTCCGGCAGCACACGCTCATCTGTGCATTTATGCAAACTGGAGGTGGGGGGGTGTGTGAAATCCTGCGCCCACGAACAAAGGAAGTGCAACCCGTCGGTCACCCAGGTGCCGGAGCTGCTCCCCAGCCACTGACCGCCACCACTTCCCTGCCGAGGGAGCCGTTCAAATGCGAGCCGGGGTCACTGTCAGCTGAGAGTCTGTTAGTCACAAAAGCATCACCGACTTGTCTACTGGCCTCAGATACGCGGCCTTTAGAGCCCACTGCCGTTGAGATCCAAGGGCGCAAGGCACAAGGGAGAAGAGATGCAGGTGACGCGCTCACAAGATGATTTCCTCAAGAACCCACTTACAACTCCCTCTTCCTTTGTTTCTGGTTGTTTTTAAGCCAAACAGAAGAGTTTCCACACTGGTGTAGCAAGTTCCTGCAGGGTATTTGTCACCCCCTCCCAGTGCAGGATGGAGCCCTCAAACACAGGTCCCTGAGTCCAGTAAGATCACAGACTATCAGACCACGGGTCAGAACTGAACCACCAGAGGCCACCAGCAGGGCTGTTGAAGGTTTAGAGGCTGGTTATCAATGGGCGCTGACACCTCTGATGACTGCAAATGGTTCAACATACTTTTTAAGCCTCAGAGTCAAATTCCAGCATTTTTTGTGGGTGGAATTTTTTTTTGCTTTTGCTTTAAGGGCTTAGACAATTTTTGCCATTTTTCCGAAGACAGCCGAGCAGTGGCAGATGCTCCCTGGAAACACGGCTGACGCCCCGTCTCTCCCACAGCCCCGGGGGCAGTGGGACCAGCGTGTCTGCAGCACACAAACCAGCCGGTACTCCACTCGCCCACGTCCACCCACGCGCACGCCTTCCAGGGCCACCCACAGCCCCTCGGTGCCCAGCAGGTCCCCTGAACCCTAAGCAAACAGCTCGAGGCACCAGATGTGACCTCAAGGTGACAGGCGGAAGTGGGTGGGCTGCACCAGGCGCCACTGTGCTGTGCGGCCCGAGGCTGGTTCTGGGTCCTTCCCACACAGCGGCTGCTTCTGACGGCCAGTGCGAGGGCAAAAATATCTTCAGGTGAGCAAGCAGGGAAGTGTCCCGGACAAGGTCATACCCACCAGGACCCGGAACCGATGTCTCCTGTTACAACGCTGGGCGAGGGGTCGGCACAACCGCTGGGCAGGCGATGGGCAAACCAGACGACCTGTTCACACGGGGCTCCCCTACCACGGGGCACAGGGGCGCCTGGGGGCTGCTGGAAACACTTCGGGGAAAAAGAAGTGGGTCTCCCGTGAGTAACAGGTTGAGGTAAACAATGCGAATGCCAAGAATTTTAAAACCAAAGAACGCCTTTCTTCTAGAAATCCAGTAAGTCTTTGTCACTCTAATAAATAAAAGCCTGGAGCGGCCTGTTCTGTGGTTGGACAAGGCGTGCATCGCAGTCGCCCTGACTTCATGGTGCTGAGCAACAGGGGCAGCAGGTTAGGGGGTCTGCGTGCGCGTCTTCAGCTTGACCCCCTCCCACAAGGCACCGGGACACCGGCGTCCCCCACTCCCCTCCGCTTTCTGCCTTCAAGCCACATCTTCACATCTACCCCCCATCAAAGAGCTTCTAGCCCCAAGGCTCCTGAGTGAAGACACACACTTCTGGCTCAGCCGACCGCGAGGCCCCGGGGGCCCCCAGCTGTCTGTACCCTTTACCGCGGCAATTTTTCCTCTCCTTTCCCAACATAAAAACCCACAAGCTATAATTAGTTATCACACAATGAAGAATGCAAAAGAGGTGCTCTGTGTGCAATTACGAATCAGATCAGTCTGTGCATCTCCTTCAGGTATGCATACCTGCTTATCACGGACCGCAGTGGTCCACTTGCCAAAGAAGTGAATGACACTGCCCAGAAGAGAGAGGTGCCTCCCTCTCATGCAGGAGAAATCCGGTCTTCACCGCCCCCCACCACACCTCCAACCCGGCAGGGAGCGTGGGAGCCCCAGTGCCCAGGCCCTGACGCCAGCTGTCGCATGACCGTTTAAGGCAACAGCGCAGGGCCCAGGTGAAGGGGGCCTGCGTCCTGCTTACATTCTGCAAATGTGACCTCGCCTTCCCAAGGCCCCTTGCCTCAGCAGTAGCCCGACGCTCTCCAGCACGTGGAGAAGACACAGGTGGTGTGGGGCCGGGTGTGGGACTCTGTGGTCAGAACCGCCTGGGTTCCGGGCCCAGCTTCTCCATTTTCCAGCTGTGTGACCCTGGGGAAGTTCCTGCGCTTTTCTGTGCCTCTGCTTCCTCATCCAGGAAATGGGGATAATAGTGCCTACCTCACGTTAAGTTCCACGAGTGACCCATGCGAACAGCTTAGAGCTAGGGAGCACCAAACACCGACGATGACTCTTCCACCTGCGAAGTGGAGCCAGCCACACCTAACCTGACTTCCGTACCTTGCCAGACACAGACGCCAGGGTCTGGCCCCCAGCAGGTGTGAGCACACTTCCAGCCCCTGTGATGACCGGGGGCCCCCACCAGCCCCCTCCTCTCAGGGAAGCCAGAGCTCAGCCCCTGGGTTTGCCCGGGGCCACCTCCACGCTCTGCTGGGAACAGGGGCCTTGCCTCTGCGGTTGCAGATGGGAGGGGGCCCCAGGCCCCACCTGCTGGACCTCCTCATTTCCGCCCAGAAGCCCACCCTGAGGAGCCCGAGCAATGGGGAGATGCCAGCAGCACCCACCCACGCGCCCTGTCTGGGGCGGGCCTGCACACCAGCGCAGGACACTGATCTGCATCTCTGAGGAGGGCCGCGTGAGGCAGGCTGGCTATCACACACTGAGATGTGGGGCTGGGGGCACGCGCTGGGGCAACCAAGCTTTCTGGGAGCCACTGGGTGACACCTGCCAAGATTCCACGTCCAGACCCTCTGACCCAGCAGTCCTCCTTCAGGAGTTCAGTTGGGCACAACCCCACGTGTATAAGATGCCCAAGTATGAGGCTGCTGACAGGAAAGTCCGGGAAACACCTGGTCTACCTGTGTGCGTGCAGACCTGTGTATGTGGAAACTGATTTGTATACCAGCTATGGCACAGCTGTAGGACGGAATACTATGCAGCTGTTAAAAAGGTGGCCGCTGAGCTAAAAAGAGGTCCAAGATACTCAGTTCCATTAAAAGTAAGGTTCCCAATGGTGTTATGATGTGCTCCTATTTGTGTAGGCACCATTTCCGTGTTCACATAATTTAATCAAAACTATTTTTAGATCTGCATTTAATCAAAGATCTGTTGGCAGTGACCAACCACAGTGGCTTTGGTCTGGGGTAGGAGCATGTTTCTCTTTCACTACTTGAGTTCTTTCGATTGGATTCTTACCTTAAGCATGTGGTTTCCTAGTTAAAATACTTGAAATCTAATATTAAAAGTAAAGTATATTAAATGTAAAAAGTTTGGAAAACAAAAGGCCTGAGAAGAAAAATGGGAGGGTAATTTCAAAAAACAGGTTACCATAACTATTAACATACGATTCCCCTTTCTGAAATTTACTAAACGTATTTCATCCAAATGGAAATTTTTAAGAACAGCTGACAGATTTTACATCATTTCTGGCTGTTGTGACATTTTGTTAGAACTGCTTCTCCTAAGAAAACTCAGACATAGAGGAAAGCACTTCTGTTTAGGTTGAGTACAGGAGACCCCAACCCCAGCGCAGGGCCTGGGGGAGGGCAGGCTGAAAAGACTCCACGGTGCCCCGGGAAGTAGGGGAGGCAGGCTCGCAGCCACACGGCAGGAGGAACAGAGACCTGGAAGTCCCAGAAAGAAGGAAGGACCTGTCGCCTGTGGGCTGCCGGAGGCGAGGGCGGGCCCCCGGGTGAACTGTGCCCCAGGAGTCCCTGCACGTGGCACCGTCCCACGTGGTCCAGGGCTCCCAGGCACCGACTCGTGGCTGTGTGACGCTCCAGAGTCAAATATGATACTGTTGGACGTTCAGATCATTGCCAGTTTCCCACTTAAAATTCATCTTTAAAGACTGATTTTAACAACCAGCAAAACTTGAGCAAGAAGCCCTTCTTTCTAGAATGGAGAGCCTACACGCAGAGGTCTGGGTGCCACACAGAGGACACCGTGAGATGGTCATAAGTCCCTGTCCTCACACACGGTGGGGGGGGGCAGGAAACAGGCCCAGAACACTTGCTCGTCACGCCCACAGGCTTGCTTCCTTCTACTGGGAAACACTGCGCAGAACTTCCATGACTCACGGCCATTTGACTCACTGCTACGTTTTCCATTAGTTGGGGTCTTTTCGAAAAGGCCTAATTTTCTCTGCTATGAAACACAGTCAATGTCTAAAACTTTTTAAATACTTTTTCCAAGCCAATTAGATGCCTTAATTCAGTCCACGTTTATTCTCCCCCTAATGGGGGAGGCAGCAAAGTGTGGTGGCCAGAGTGCGGGCTCTGAGGCCAGCCTGCCTGGGCTCAGATCTGGGGCGGCCACTTCTCAGCTGTGTGACCTAGAACAGGTCCCTCCCCTCCGGCTGCTCCCTCAGCTCCTCCCCCAGCTGCTCCCTCAGCCCCTCCACCTCCCCAGCTCCTCTCCGGGAGAGGAGGTGATGCACCCACCTCCGGGGAGGGAGCAGCATGAATGAGGAGCTGTCAAGCACATCCGTGTGCTGCAGGAGTGGACACTAAATAAATGCTAACATGGCGACACACACGACACCCTGCTGTCGCGACACAGCTGGGACCCTCCCCCGCGCTGGGAAAGCCCACCAGAACCTCCGGGCCACACTCGGCCACGTTCTGGCAGAAACAAGTGTGGGGCTGAAGCGGGTCCTTTCAGTCCAGCACCGACCCCCTGCGGGCTCCAACTCTGTGACTGGCACCTAGATTTAAAGCTTCTCTTTCTAAAGCGCATGGTCAT